AGTATTATTAGCTAGTATGTATTTTGATTATTTAATAGGTTATCAAGTCTAAGGATATACAATAGCATTTATTGTTGTTTGGATGTTTTCTTTAGGGGTTCAAGTGACCTTGAAGTATAAAATTATATTGACTATATGTAAGTTTGTTTTGATGGATTATACCCTTCTATATGGTTGCTCGTATACTATTTGTTGATTGGATAAATGCATGTGATTAATTAGTATAAGCCTATGCTTATTTTCTTTATCAATTTTTTTATGATTTTCATATAGGGGTAGGTTGAGATGCATATGTGTTTGATTTATTTCACTATTGGTTGGCCTTTGGCATTTTTGTATAATGTGATTAGCTTTACGAACTTTGTTTATTGTTAAAGCATATGCATCTCAAGTCAATATACCGGTATATGTCGGATATAAGCAAGCTATTAAAACAGGACTCAATGTGCCTCTATGAGGTTTTATTTTAGCGCTAAGAGCCCAAATTGGGTCTCACCGTCCCGGAACCACGGGCTTAATAATTGTGGGGTTTACCGAGTCAACCGGAGTATGAAGTGTTGACCGCATTGAGACGTAGCATGCTTATTTCTATTCCATGATTTCTAATTTTCTTAAATATTTGTATCAAATACTAGAGTTCATTAATTATTCTATATCATTCTTATATTTTGTTTATTTCTTGTTGTAATATTTTAGTTTTGCAAAACCAGTGTTTAATGTATGAATTTATCCACTTATTGAGTTGTGAACTCATTGTGTTATTTCTATTCTTTTCAGAGACTCAGGATTAGGTGGAATTGAGGATTGTCAAATTCTTAGAACGAAGCAAAGAATAATTCGAGATTGTTATTGTCTTCTAGGCGAAGGTTAAATAAAGTCTTTAATGTTTAGATGATGATTTGAGAGTTTGTAATAATGAGATTCTTTCTTTAGGTTGAGATTTATTTGGAGTTGAGGAATATTTATTTTTATCAAGTTAATTGGCTTAGTTGACTTTTGGGATTATAGAGAATATTTGTTGTTGGTTTTAGTTCAATGAAGAGATTTGTTTTAGTGTTCTTTTAATGAATGTATATTTTGGAGGACTTTTCACAGGTTTAGTCCGGCTCTAATATTCCTTTGAGGTTCGAAAATTGGGGTCGTGACAATCAGAGCTAAGATTTTAGCTCTAGAAAAAATAAAGTCCAATGTGAAGCCAGAAGATGTCGAGAGAATGTGAAGCCCGTACTGCCTAAATTTATGCGAAAAAATAGAAACTTGATGATTTATTTTGAAGTATGATCAAGGATGTATGGTGAAATTGTTGGATCAAATGGTAACACAATATCAAAGTGATCTTTGAGGTATAGTCATAGATGCTAACAAATATTTGGACATGAGTTCGTATGAGTTAAAGGTTCACTATGGGCAGCATCATGAAGGATTAGGATAGGCGATGATAATGATGATATACATTATATGGTTTTGTGTTATTATAATCAAAATTTGCTATGGACAAATTATCATCGTTATTTAAAGTTTTCCTCGTGATTTCATGAAAGCTTTGGGAACATTATCAATATGAGATGTGTGTCATACAATCCGATCAGAGAAAAAAAAAACATTAAGTACAAGAAGGATATTGACAAGAGGAAAGGAAATTAGTTAGAACTAAGTAAAGTCATAACCTTACCATTCATTGTTGTCATCGAAAGATAAATATGGTGATGGTGCCTCGAGTAGAAAGTTAAATTTTGGCATTGTATTTTGGCTACTAAGGAGACGCATATATTGCAGACATAGAAGGCTAAATGTTGATAATTGAGTTAGGGATTATGGAAAGATGCTTTCTTAAGATTCAAACATGATTGAGAGAATAGTGTCATAATAGAGTAAAATATTTTGGTGGTTTATAAAAAAAATTAAGCTTGAGATAAAATAGGAATTGCAATATGAGTATGTGTTCGCGATAGGATTTGAGATTATGATTGTTTGTCCTTAATAATTTGATTTTGAAGAGAAAGTATTTGGAAGTGACAAATTGTTCTATATATGTTCTATCATGAAAGTACGGCACCATATAGAGTTGTGAAAATTATTTTGTAATAGAGATTATAAAGTTTGTCTTTTTGGTCTTATGACTCGTTGCATGAACTTTTGTTCTTAAGTTGTTTCGTTGATATTAATACCTCCAGATGTCCTGATGTTGGGCAAATAAGTAAATTAGTTTGATTGACCGGCAAGTGGAAAGGAATTAATTTTGAGTTGATGTTTTTATTTTGAAGTCTGATCGAGGACAATATGAATATTATTGGGTCAAATTTAGTTATAGAAGTATATGATTTTAGATTCATGGATTACGTAATTCCTTTTTGTTTAGTTTTTCTAGAGAGAAAGGAAGAATTAGTTCAGTTTGGTTGGAGGCATGTTTGACATATGTGACTCATTAAAATACTAGAGAGAAAGGAAGAATTAGTTCAGTTTGGTTGGAGGCATGTTTGACATATGTGACTCATTAAAATATTATATAATAATATATGGTGTCATGATAAGGAATATGTCAGGGATTAGTTATTGGTGATTATTATGATTAAACTTTCATGCTAAATGTATCTATTTTTGGTGATGTTAGGCTGTTATGGCACTTGATATGAGAGAATATCATTTGAGATTTATAGAAAAGAAATTTGATGGTTTATTTTGAGATGTTATAGTAGATAGTATGCCAACGCAGTTGGTTAGATGATTATAGAAAATTCTGTGTATGAATTCTACTTAGAAACATAGAAGTATAGACTTTATAAATGTGGAAGATTATGAATGCTATTAGTTTTAATTATTTTCAAGGAACTACATACATAGCTTGTGTAGTATAATACAAGGTAAAAATATGTGGCTATTACTTAAATAGTTGCCTATGTACATAACTTGAGTATTTCATAGATTAATGATACTGATGATTGTTATTATGAATTATGACACTATACCTTGATGACACCAACCAGATGACAATGCATTGGTGGATTTCATAATTTTGTTCGGTGAATGAGATAGTCTAATCATAACTAGATCAATTTGTAGTGGCCTCTTTGATGATGTATATCTATTTTTTCTAGAGTCAAGATGGGTAAAAGAATGCTTGAGGAATTTTTTTTTGCAACATCATGACAAGCTAAAATTTTATATGAAGTTGTTGGATTTGAATTTTGATTAAGGATTGTTTTTAGTTTATTAATGCACTAATAGCTTTCAATGGCATTGGTCCTTTGTTGAATGTATGATCCATTTTCATTGTTCTAACAAGTGCAAGATAGAATATCATGAGTTGAAGGATTGATTTGTGACATACATTAATACCTCTAGTGCTTGTTTTAGGTGTAATGTTATGCAAAAAAAAGGAATTATCCAATATGTGAAGATTTTGGAATATTGTCTGTATAGGAAGAGATGAGACATCTATACATAGAAGTCAGAAATAGCTATTTCTATTAAAGAGCTAAATATTCAAGGGAAATGGTAATTTAATGAAACATTATGGTACTATCTTTTATTATTTTCTTAGCAAATGAATTCAATGACGCATTGGAGAAAAGTGAAATTATATCATATTTTGATCGACCAATCAAAACAAATATTGGAGGTTGTGGTGACTCAATATTTGAATTTATAGACCAAGAATAATGTCTACCCATCTTAAGATTGAGCATGTGTCAAGAGAGAAATTGCATAGCAAAAAGTAATGCTCATTTATTGGTTAGATTTAAGTTTGAGGTAAAACAAACTTTTTATTATGATATTTTAGTTCATAATGAGGTCGTAAGATTCAAAAACAGATCATGCTTTCTCGATGACCCAAACTTGAAGGTAGAAATCTTAGAAGACACTTTGTTTTGCATAGTAAAGACATCTTTGAAGTATGGAATTATTTAGGGACTTACAAGAAAATTTTTGATGGAATAAATAGAAACGAAAATTATAATTTTTTTTGTGTCAAAAATATCTATTATGACTGCATAATATGAATATTGATTGTTGGAAGCCTTGTTGGATTACTCCAACTGTTTTCAAATTATGCATGGAAATGAAAGGAGATATTCGCAGACTTTGACCACAAACTTGACAGCATTAAGTGGTCATGATATTATCAGAGTATTGTTGATTAACTTACTAAGTTGACTTATTGCTTGCCTTGCAGCACTACTCATTCACTTGAGAAGCATGGCATGTTACATGTAAAGGACATCATGAGATTTCATCTTAGTAGAGACTTTAAAGTTTGAGGTTACATTTTATATTTTGGAGAGGATTGTGGACGTATCAAGTAGCATTGCATCACCTCATGGCTTACTTCTAGTTTCCTATAATATATCTCATGTGATAATCTATGAAGCTCTCATGACAGGAAAGATTTTATATAGTCAAAAGTAGTTATATGCGACTTTGGATCAAAAGTATTAAACATTGATGATCAATAAATATTTGTCCAATGAATTCTTTTTGTGTTAAAAAAAAGTCATTTAGAAGAAGAAACAATAGGTTGCATGAGAATGTGATGAAAGAGAAATATCTTGATCTATTTGAGGACTTGACATGTATCTAAGTTTTGTGGACAAAACTTCTTTTGTGGGGTATAATATATAATATCCTAAATTTTTCAATTGACAATAAATATGATATAAATTTTTGAGCAGACCATTATTAACAAATATGCTCATGAGATTATTGGATGAGATTTGAGTATGTGCTGATGATAACATTAGTACATAGTACAGTCAAAGTTGGATTAAGGAGTTTAAAAAAATAATTACATGATCTATGGACAACTCAAGTATGTTCAAGTTTTGAGGACAAAACTTCAGTTAAGAGGGGTAGTATGTAATAATTCTAACTTTTTAGATAGATATATATAAGGAAAAGTATAGGGGCTTTTATGTAAAATTTGATAAAGGGTTTTAATAGCAAAAAGACCTATATAAATATCCAAAACCCTACTTTTCCAACAGCCTCCTTTCCTTCTCCCGTCCTTGTCTCGCCGCACAACACACACAAAAATAAATGGATCCGTGCGATTGAAAGAGGGTGACCGGTGGTTGTTTACACAATAACGAAGGTATGACTATTGGTAAAAGAATAATATATGAATGTATTAGGGTTTGGTTTGAATTTTTTATTTACAATCAATTAACTCGGTTTTATTTTGTGGTCGGCCATGGTAATGCTCTTGATAGCATGCAACACCTTGCTGTTGGGTTTTTTATTGCTTTTGTCATGAAAACCATTTGTCTTAGCCTAATTTTCCAGACCAAAATTTCTAATATAAAAATAATTTAACCTATATATATGGATGGCTAATGTTGAATGTGGACTATGGGATCTTATAGATTTTATATATTTGTTTGAATAGAGTATTATTAGCTAGTATGTATTTTGATTATTTAATAGGTTATCAAGTCTAAGGATATACAATAGCATTTATTGTTGTTTGGATGTTTTCTTTAGGGGTTCAAGTGACCTTGAAGTGGTAGGTTGAGATGCATATGTGTTTGATTTATTTCACTATTGGTTGGCCTTTGGCATATTTGTATAATGTGATTAGCTTTACGAACTTTGTTTATTATTGAAGCATATGCATCTCAAGTCAATATACCGGTATATGTCGGATATAAGCAAGCTATTAAAACAGGACTCAATGTGCCTCTATGAGGTTCTATTTTAGCGCTAAGAGCCCAAATTGGGTCTCACCGTCACGGAACCACGGGCTTAATAATTGTGGGGTTTACCGAGTCAACCGGAGTATGAAGTGTTGACCGCATTAAGACGTAGCATGCTTATTTCTATTCCATGATTTCTAATTTTCTTAAACATTTGTATCAAATACTAGAGTTCATTAATGATTCTATATCATTCTTATATTTTGTTTATTTCTCGTTGTAATATTTTAGTTTTGCAAAACCAGTGTTTAATGTATGAATTTATCCACTTATTGAGTTGTGAACTCATTGTGTTATTTCTATTCTTTTCAGAGACTCGGGATTAGGTGGAATTGAGGATTGTCAAATTCTTAGAACGGAGCAAAGAATAATTCGAGATTGTTATTGTCTTCTAGGCGAAGGTTAAATAAAGTCTTTAATGTTTAGATGATGAATTGAGAGTTTGTAATAATGAGATTCTTTCTTTAGGTTGAGATTTATTTGGAGTTGAGGAATATTTATTTTTATCAAGTTAATTGGCTTAGTTGACTTTTGGGATTATAGAGAATATTTGTTGTTGGTTTTAGTTCAATGAAGAGATTTGTTTTAGTGTTCTTTTAATGAATGTATATTTTGGAGGACTTTTCACAGGTTTAGTCCGGCTCTAATATTCCTTTGAGGTTCGGAAATTGGGGTCGTGACACTTAGACTCTGATTTGTTGATCTGATTTGGCAGTAAATCTGATTCCTGATTTGGCAGTAAATTCGATTCTTATTTTGGCAGTAAATCCACTTCTGAGTTCGAGTCTGAAACCGATCTTGATTCGGTTGTGATTCATCCGAGTCTGCTCTTGTTTGGATGACTCGTTGATTCTTCGAACCCTTGGCTTGATTCCACACCTGAATGGATGTATTCCGTTGCTTGCGTGCGATTCGTCAACCTCGTCGCCTCGTTGGTTCGTCGGTTTGTGCCGAGCTATGCTAAGGGACCTATAAGCAATTTTATACGCCTACAGGGACAATTTCAGGTTATGTTGTACCCTCGTTTGTCTCCTTGGTGAGTCAATCGGGAAGAGTTGATATCCTCCTTCGCGGGGATTGAAGCTTCGAGAGGCGTGTGTTGCTTAGATAATACACTTTTCCAGGTATATGAGACATTTTCAGGTTATATTGTATCCTCGTTTGTCTCCTTGGCGAGTCAATCGGGAAGAGCTGATATCCTCCTTTGCGGGGATTGAAGCTTCGAGAGGCGCGTGTTGCCTGGCTGACACACGTTTTCAAGCATATGGGACAATTTCATGTTGTATTGTACCCTGTAGGGCGGGGTATATTGTCACATTACTTGCGTAACAATATACATTGTCCCTCTTGTGTAAAACAGATGAAATCGTCTCGCCAATATGATTGAACAGTGATCCTATCTCGCTAATTTTCCAGGTGAGTTTCACTCCTTGTTTTATCTTAGAAATAATCTTTCTTATTTTGTGTTATTTGTTTCAGTTGAGTTCTCGGCGGGTAGCTTCATGCGACAAGTGGTTGTAGCCGAGAGACTTTTACCACTAATGTGTTAAACCCTAGAGGGGGGTGATTAGAGTCTTATGCTAATCTAATCCGATTTTATACCAATTAAAACTAATTAACAAGTTATCCTAGCAAGTATAAAATACAACAAGATATGTGAGCTAGAATGAGTGATATACACAAGGGTAAACAAAATAAACAAGATAGTGGATGATATAAATAGTGAGCAATGGATAATGGCGACAAGATATATAAATATAAAAGAAAGTGCACCAAAGCAAACTCAAACACACGAAATGATCATGGAGATTGGACCTTCTGTCCTACATCTCCGCTCCCCACTCCCGAGAAGAAATCCACTATCACAACCGGGTTTTCTACGCTTACCCGAACAACGTTTACACCTCACACTCGGTTTTCTAGCTAATCGAAAACTTTACAACTACACAATTGATCATCACGAGATCACACTCACAATGTCGGTTTTAAACATTCACCAATCAATGTCTGCACTCCCTCACACTTGGTTTTCTAGCTTACCGAAAACTCTAAAACACTCTCAAATAACAATAAATGATTTGTTCTCTAATATAAGACGAGAAATCAATTAAAGCACAACTCAATGTTACAAACTATCACAACCCCAATTATACTATATATGTAAATACTATAAGCTCAATATGGGTGTGTGTAACAATAAGAATATCAAATCTAAACTCAATATAAAAACTAGCTTTAAAGAAAGATAATCAAACAAATTTGCAAATGTAAAGCTAGATATGAGTTTAGAAATTCTTCTCTGAAAAACAAGATGGAGAGATGGATTAACATGAAGCCCAAACAATGTAGATGATCTCCTCCATTTGTGAAATAGTCTTCACAAACCAAACTCTTTTAAAACACACAAAAAAAACTTTAAAACCCTTGTTAAACTTGTTTAAAACATTCTTATTGTTGGGTATGAGAACTGAGAGCAAAGGGGTATTTATAGCCTCCCAAAACCTCAGTCAAAAAGACAAAACAAAAAACCAAAAAGCCCATAGAAAAACAGCTGAGGAAATAGCCGTTGGAACAGATTTGACTGTTTGGTGGTCGACCGTGGCGATTGACCGCGAGCAACAAAACAGCAAAACTACAGCTCAGAACAACAGACGGTCGACCGTGGCGGTCGACCGCAAAACTCTCTGGACTATATTCGGTCAACCGCCACGGTCGACCACGAGCCATCAAGAAACATACTGAGTCTCTGGACTCAGGGGCGGTCGACCGTGACGATCGACCGCAAACTGACACGAAACCTGAAATGCAGTTTTCTGAATTTGAAACCTTGTTTAAAAATATCAAATAAATTTAGTAAAATATAAAACTACAAAAATTAGTTTTTAAAAAGGACCTCCCAAATGAAAAATATTATCATTTTGCAAAATATTCCAAAACATGAAAATGTGAACATATGAGTTTTGACATTTTAGCTTAACCATGTTTTGAAACATTACAAAATAATTATGTAGACTTAATAAAAGATGTGTATGATTGTTATTAAGTCCATAAACCAAGAAAACAATATTTTCACAAAATTACATATTTTGCAAACATTTCAAAAGTAAATATGATTTCATTGAACTAAATAAAATTGATATTTGATGAAATCATATATAGGCATGTAAGTATGAAACAAAAATATGTTTTCTAATTATATTCAATTGTATTATATTAAAACTTAAAAACTATCAAACCAAAACATATAAGTATATATATAACTATATATATAAAACCAAAACGTGTATGTGTGTATATGATTGAGCTTAAAGTACTAACACACATAATATAAAACCTAAAACTAAATTTACCCAAGCTTGTGATCTTCAACGAAGCTCTATCTTGGTATACTTTCGGATGAAGCTTGAACTTGAATCTTTAACTTTGAATTATGTAGGCTTCACTCCACAATTCCACCAACCTCCATTGGATATGATCGTGAATGCGCAATTCCATCCATCCTCCAACATGTTGTTTGTCAACAATAAATAGAATTACACAAATACTACACAAATAACATTAGTGATAAATTGTTTGTTAAACATCATCAAAACAAGAAGGCCAACAATCTCTCTCTTTTTGATGATGACAAACAATTTAAAAAAAGGATATATGCATGAAAGGAAATGAATATATAAATTATAATTATCATGCATATAAACAAGAAAGAATATACTCACAATATTTCTCCCCTTTTGACAACATCAAAAAGGGGAAAAACAAAAGAATGAAGAGGGTGAAAGCTCCCCCTACAAATAAGCATGGGTGAGTATAACAAAAATATATATATAGGGAATGCTCCCCGTATCAAAATGCCATATAGAATATATGAAATGAAGATCATGGCAAACATATGTGAGCAAGCATAGATGGAAAATATGCTAAACACAACTCACATACATAAAGACAATGAGAACATATATAAGTATATCAAAGTGAACATAGTGTCTCATTTCTCAAGCATAAAAACCATGTATGAATGAATTTATGAAAGCAAAAGAATGAGGAAACATGAGAACCATGAAAAAAAAATTTCAAAAGAAAACAAATCACTCAAATGAAATCATAAATCAAAGTTTGAATCCAAAAACGATGTTTGATCAAAAAGAACACTTTCTTTGAGGACTTGATCAAACCACTCATAGAATACATTATAAAGCATATATGAAATTTGAATCATCTATTTGTGCTATATAATGAATTCAAAAGATCAAATCAAAACAAAATTTTCATAGTTCAAGAGTGAGATTACAAAACATACAAGAATCATGAACTATAGATTTTAAAAACTAAAAATCATTTTTAAGAGTATAAAACCAAACCATCATTGATTTTCAAAAATCAAGAGAGGCAACCATATCTAGCTCTAGAGCTAGTAACAACCCATATAAGCATTTAAGCACCCGGTAAACAAGATTTGGGAATAAACACCCAATAAACCTGGAGGGTTATATGAACACAAACCTCTCATCAAAATCAAAGTTAATAAAATGAAAACAAAATAATTGATCAATTAAAAATTATTTTCATATAGAAAAAAAATTAGAACAAGTTTTTCAAAACCAAGAAAAAGAAAAATAGAAACACTAATATTCTTGGTTTAAAAATTATTTTGGCACCCAAACATTCTTGGTGCCGGATTGTTTAGGGACATGACCCCTATCAATAAAGCTCAAAGCCCTAGGGTTATGAACCCTCTTGGGTACATATGGTGCACGAACATGGTCATAATAAAAATTACTCAAATAACCCTTCCAATTGTAATAAGTACAATGGAAAGGAAGCATTTGATTTTGTTGACCAAACGGTTGTGCACGTGACTCATTTGCAAAAATAGGTTTATCTTGGAAATTAATTTACAAACGAGAAACTATCCTCAAATCAAAACAAAATTTGGTCAAATGACCAAAACGGCCACAAAACTCATATCTGTACATATGGGCATGTTTATGATGATCTATATGTGTGTGTACATGTGAATGTGATGAAGAAACTTGGTAGAATGCACAAGAATTATTTATCTTGATGGGTTTTTGTGCATTATAACAAAATCTAGCAAGGTGGCCTTTATGACCGCAATTAGTGCATTTGTAGACTTTGTTATACATGTGTGCATAGTGTGTAGGTTTCTTAGAAGAGTTTGCATTAGACTTTGCACACAAGTCCATAAGCTTGTTGTAATTATTAATGCATGTGTTTAAGATTGAATCTAAACAAAATATACGGTTTTTCACATGATTCATCTTTAGATACAACATCATTGATAATAGAAGTAGAGCATGTATGGTTATTCTTAAAAGAATCAAATTCATTTCAGAGCATGTATGGTTATTCTTAAAAGAATCAAATTCATTTCTAATACATTCTACTTCTAGCATGGCATCATTATTAGCATGAGTTAAGCAAGAATCAAATTCATTTCTAATACATTCTACTTCTAGCATGGCATCATTATTAGCATGAGTTAAGCTAGCAATTGATGAGGTTAATTTTTTATTTTCTAAATTTAATAAGTTATTATTTTCTTTAAGCATAGTTTTTTTTTTTTTGCAATGACATCA